TGCCATGTGCGGGCACCCCTGAGAAGGCAGCCCCAGCCACCCCGCCTGAGAGTACTCAGGGCACACACGTGGCCCAAGGTGCTGGGTGCACCACCTAGCACTGTGGACCAGAAGGGCGAGTCTAGACCTTCCATTCACAGATTAGGTGGACGAGGTCAGGGGCAAGGAGTCATCTGCCTGAGGTCCTTCATAGGTTATAGACCCAGTTCTTGAACCCAGGTCTTCTCACCCTGTGTTCTTCCTGCTGTCCACTGACCCCCAGATCTGGCCTGTGCCCAGAAGCACTTGGGTGACTTTAAGAAACACAGAGCCCTGGCCTGGGGGCCAGAAATTCATGTTTGAAAAGCAGCTCGGGATATTCTAACCTCTGCGGAATATGGCACCTGTGTTCTTTGGTCCACCACTTCGAGGCAGGGAAGTCTGACTGTCCTGTGCTCGCAGTGCCCACAGGTGCCCCTGCACCATCTGCTGTTGGTGTCCATAGACTGAGTGAGTCCCAGGATGTGGGAGGGAGGGCCATTAGCAGGGCTTGGGCCTGCGCACCATTTCAGTAAAGCCATTATGGTCATCAGCTCTTAGTACAGTAGGTGTGAGCCAGGCCCATCTAGGATAAGAACAACAAAAGGTCTTTAAAAGATTTATTAAAGAAAAGGTAGAGTTGGTATTAGGTTTTCATTAACTTCATTGAGGTAGAGATAGATTTATGTGTTAAGTATTTTAAATAGTACATGCTTTATACAGTTAAGTGGCCTGGGGCAAATACCTGTGAAACTCTAGTTTTTCATTTTTTAAAAATGCAGTTTTGCTGGCCAGTTTTATTTTTTATTTTTTAAATAAAATTAATTTCCTTCCTCCTTTTGTTTTTAGGCATTTCTCTTTAAGCATACACTAGTATTTTACTAACATGAGCAGCTCACCTTTTTTACTGAAATAAAAACCAGCTCAAGTTTGGCTACCATCTGTCCCCCTCCCCCACGAAAAAAGGTTTTTCTGTTAAATATGATCAGTGTGACAAATATGCACTCTAGAACGTCACTTTGAAGGGTTAAGGCATCTTCAATACAATACCTGGCTAGTGTTCAAGGTAAGACATCATATACCAAAATTCTTACAATACATAGTTGTGGAAAGACCCCATTATTGTTAATCTGTAGAGTGCTACTTCTCTAAACTTATGTATACATTTCCAGTATAAATAGTAAAGTACGATTATGTCTATTTCCTTATGTTTTAATATTTTAGAACTCTACGTAGGGCTATGTGTCTGTCTTAGTCTTAAATGGAAGAGCATTTGGAAGGAAGACATGAGCTATTGTCTGCACTATTACCAATCTGGCTATGCATGTGTGGGGGGCTCAGGCACAAAATTAAACTTTCATCAGCCCTACTTGCCCCCAAACACGCAAGGAAAGATATTTTCTGGTATTCTGGCAAGCCTGAGATAAATGCTGCCCTTTGGCAGAGGTAGATTTGATTTGCTTTGGTTTAGTTTGGTTTTTTGAGACAGGGTCTCACTATGTAGCCCAGGCTTCCCTTGAACTGTCAGTGATCCTCCTGCCTCAGCCTGCTGAGTGCTAGGATTACAGGTGTGCACTCTCACACCTGGTGGGGTGGGCATAGATTTTAAATGATTTACTGTATACTGTACACACGTGTGAGTTGGACTGCCTTCATTATTGTTTTGACAAAAGTATGCGGAGGGGGAATTGCCAAGACAAGAAAAATTGCAAGCCAGGCACTCTTCTCTAGTCTGTGTGTGGTGATGCATTTGAGCCTGCAGACTTCAGGCTTTGATGGGGCCATCCTCCTACAGTCTCACTTTATTTCTGTGGCACTGTTATAAGTTAGAGGGACCAGCTTGCATCCAACAACTGCTTCCGTGTAAACATAACACTAAGATAATAAAAAGGAAAGTTGAGAGTTAGGTGTCTTTCTTTAATTGCTGACATTTGATTTCTTTTCAACCCTAAAATATGTGTGCAAATGGTCCTATTATTCCAGTAAATATCTCATTTTAAACTTTGCTGTGTTGCAGCACATTATTAAAAGATCTATGAAACTGAAAATAGTAGTTCTAAACATAGAACTGCTTAACATCCTATCGATTGTGTAGTACCATGCCTTGGTCCCACAATTTGGATGGGCCGAGCCCCTTCTTGCCCCTACATAGCCTTTGGAAAATGTGTGTGGTAGGGGGAGGGATGCTCGTAGCTGTTCCAGTGACTGGGGACACCTGGGCTTAGTAGTGGCTCAGGGATGCACGGTGCTCTAGTCTGGCAGAGTGATCACTTGTGCTGTCCAGGATGCCAGTAGCACCCTCTTCAGGAAACACTGGAGAGTCAGGGCTGATAAAGTAACACCCCCACCCACTATCTCAGAGCAGCTTAGGTGCTGACCATTAATATGGTGTTCATTCACCTGTCACTTAGATTTCATTAGTCCTGATATGTGAAATCTTGGAATAGAAATAATAGAGATGTGCTGTGTATGAATATAGATATATTAAAGTTAACTTGATTACTTCAGGGGAGGGTTATTAAAGTAAGAAAGGTCCTGGCGTATACTCAGTCAGACCCGGGCTTGATGCTTTTGATGGAGCCAGTGGACAGAACAGCGGAGGAAAAGCCTGTTCTTGGTATTGCTGGTCCCACTTTTATGTGTTATTGCAGAGCCAGGAAAAATTAGGCGCAGTCTTTAAGCTTCTCTCCCAGATGTCATGATTTCCCTTGGAGCATAGGTAAAGAATTTTGTGGACTGATTGCCAGATGATTTGTGTTGCTGCTGCTGCTCACACCAAGTATATAACAAAGTGTGGATTTATAGATAGATCTATGCAGACCTCAGCAGGTTTCACATTCTACTCGCTACTGGGTCATTATAGTCGACTTCAGTGAAAGTATGCGTTATACCACTTGCTTGCTTTTCCAAAGACTTGTGTGAACTTTTGGAGTCAAATTGTGACCTAATTGAAAACCTTAAAAGTGTACATTTTAAATTCCTATTCTTGTTAATGTCCTTTAGTTTGTGAAAGGGTTAATATCATTTTTTAAAATGGCAGTTATTAGCTTCAGTTTCAGATGATATTTTTTCACAGTCCTTAAACTTAGAAATGATCAAAGTTTATTTTAAAATTTTGGGGTACCTTTTAGATATACATAATAACATTCATCATAGAGAATTTGCACCTGTGCATAATATATCTTGCTCCTTTTTCCCATTTCCCTCCCTTCCCTCAACCTTCTTCCCCCCATTTACAAAAGCTTTGTTTCCTTTTCCCCTTGTCCCTCCCTTCCTCCCCTCTCCGCCCCAACCTTGGTACTGGGGATCAAACTCAGGACCTTGTCCTTACCTTGGCACCACTGAGCTACATCCCCGGCCCTCCCCTTTTCTTTTTGAACATTTTCTTCCCATTTCCCAATATCTAGTCTACATTTTAGTCTTTATTTACACTTTTGGTTTCTCACACCAGAGAAACTGTGGTATTTAAACATGTGTGTCCGATTTAATAAATGATCAAAATGTCGTTCGAGCTGTTTCACATAGAATCTGGCCTTTTCTGTTTGTCTTGCCAGGTAGCAGCTGTAGATCCTGTTGACTTGGTGATTGAGGTTCTGAGTTGGTAACTAGCAGAGAAAGCAAGCGCATCTAGGTCCTGTCTTGTCACTCTGCTGTCCACTTGAGTGCAGAGCATGATGTGTCCTTGTTGGCTTCAGTGTCAGTGATGGGAGTGGTGTTTGTTGTAGGAATATTGGACTTTGACGCTGGTTTTCCCATCTCTAATATATGCTCTTGGAACTGTATTCAAAAGATATGAAAGATTGCTTTATTTTTATGCTTCATAGAAGTCAATTTAAATTTTTTTTTTTAAAGAATAAACTGTTGCCAGCAGGAAATGAAAGAAATTTGGGGTTTGATATTTCAGTATGACTTAAGACTAAAATGTCTCTAATCTTGCTCTTCAGTAAACCTTAGTTCTTTAACTTGAGTTGAGCTGGGCGTGGTGGCGCATCCCTATCATCCCAGCACTCGGGAGGCCGAGGCAGGAGTTTGAGCCCAATCCAAGCAATTTAGCCAGACCCTGTCTCAAAATTAACAAAAAGGTAAGAGCATTGGGAATGTAGCTCAATATGAAGGCGAGGGTTTCACATGTGTGGTGCTCTGGTTGGATGCCGAGACCTCTGTGGGCCAGTACTTGAAGGGTCTCTGTCTGTATTATATCTCTAACTATTGTGTGCCTTGGTAAATCCGGGTTTTCTCAAATCAGAAATGTGAAAACTGCCCTTGAAATCACTTTTCTTTTTTCCTTTTAAATAACTGTATGGCAACATTAGAAACATTTTTAAGGCCCTCCCATCACCTGGACCACCTCGGTTCCCTTTGATTTTATCACCCTGATGCTACCATTTCACTTTGCTTTTTTATCGAAATAGATCTTATGTGTTTGGTGGATAGAGTATGTGCCATTTTGCTTGTCACATTTTTTTATTCTGGACACAAGTTTTCCTGTTTCTGCTGTCTACATAATTACCATTTTAAACAGCCACATAGTATTCTGTTCTTTTTGTGTCTCTAGTCATTTCACCACTTCTTCAGCGTTCAGCCGGTGTCTAATGTTGTGCAAACCTTGTGGTGCTTGGCTTCTCCTCTGTCCTGCACTTACTGCCTGGTCCTCTGGAGCTGCCTGCCTTGGGGCCATGACCAGGTGTGCGGACAAATACATTAACAATTACACAGTAGTTTTTCGAAATGCCACTTAGCCCAAATTTATTGAAGCAGAGAACCCATGCGTGTGAACCCAGCCTCTGCACTTGCTGAGACCGCAGACTCAACTGTCCATGGTCATGGTGTGTGGGTGTGTGTTTTATGACCAGTGTGAGAACAGATGTCGCAGAATACACTGTTGTCGCACTGCCAAGTGGCTTTGAGTTCTGTGGAATGCTCAGGAGGGCACCAAGAGAAGGGAACCCACAGTTAAATGTGATTGTTTTGTTCTGTTTCAGATCAATGTCCGGGTTACCACCATGGATGCGGAGCTCGAGTTCTCCATCCAGCCAAACACCACGGGAAAGCAGCTTTTTGATCAGGTTGGTCTCTGACCTTGAGAGAATTACTATTTAGAAAAAATTTTTTGCAACATCCAAGTCATTTTGCTTGTTAAGTGAATTGCCTTGGTTTGCTCACTCAAGGTAACAGATGAAAAGGATCTTTGAAAAAGGTAAAAAGAACTATACTTTCTCGTGACACCATTACAAAACACTTTTTAAAAGATGGGAGATTTCTGTAACATTTACTGTTGATATTATTTATATTTGGTTTTTTCTAATAACTACTTCAAAACAGTTCTTTTTTAAAAAAATTAAAAATAATTTTTATTGGTACATTTTAGATATACAGTATAATGACATTCATCATTAGAAATTTGTACCTTTACATAATATATCTTGGTTCTGATTTTTTTCCCCATTTCCCCTGCCCTCCCTTCAACCCCTCCACCCCTCCCTATTTACAAAGACTTTGTTTCCATTTTTTTCATTTTCTCATATTCAAATATAGTCTTATCTTAATAGTTCGGTGTTCCCCAAAGTGGACAGAAAACCATTATTTGGCATTGTTTTTACAGATTTATGTCGAAGGTCAGCAAACGTTCTACAAACAGCTAGATAGCAAATGTTTTCACCATGCAGGCCACACATCCTCTGCTGTAACTATTAAGCTTTGCCATCGTAGTATTGAAAGCAGCCATAAACTCATGAATGAAGGGCATGGCTGTCTTCCAGTAAAACTATATAACAACACTGAATTTTTATGTGATCACCCCCAAGCATTAAAAAAATAGAAACCCATTCTTGTGGGCTGCACAAATGGCAGAGGCTGTAGATAGCTGTCCTGTTTTATTTTAAAACCCCTTCTGTGATTGAGATAAGGCCACCATTGCTAATGTGAGCACCGTGACAGCATGGTGAGGACCTTCAGGCTCTGGGGTCCCTCTGGTTTCTTTCTTGACACCCCACTGTGTCTTCTGTTGTGTCTTAACAAAACATTTTCAGTGGTCAACTCCAGGCAAATCCTCACTCCAGAATGCTCTTTGTGGTAAGAAGTTTTTCCAGCATGTATTATTTGATGGAAATGGGGTGGTGCTTCATAGAAAATCCAGTCCTCCCTCCCTGCTCCCTTCTCACTCCTCTGCCCAACTTCTCGGACTAAGTGGGCTCAGATGGTGGTGAGGGACACACCTGAAAAGTCCTTGTGGTGCATGGGTCACTGGGAGGCTGTGGTGAGCACCCTTGAGTCAGCAAAGACCGTTCTGTGTTCTGGAGAAGGCAGCACAGGTGCATCTGAGGTCCCGTGCCTCCCCAGAAACCCAAAGAGAATGGCAGAGGTTAAGAACTGTGAGCTACCGTGAATGTATGACACTCTTCTAGGAAACAGTTCCAAGCTCTAGAGAGTGGGGTCTACTTTACTTTTTTTTTTTTTTTGTATATCCTTTTATTGGTACATTTTAAGGTGTACAGTATATATAATGACATTCATCATTGGAGATATGCACCTTTACATACTCTCTTGGTTCTTATTTTTTCCCCCTTCCCCTGCCCTCCCTTCAACCCCTCCATCCCTCCCCATTTACAAAGACTTTGTTTCCATTTTTTCATTTTCTCATATTAATTCCATCCCTTCTTTCCTTTCCCCTACCCCTCTCATTTCCCCCTCCCCTTTGCCCCTTTTCTTCCTATTTCACATTACCTATTATACCTTTTAGTCCTTATTTACACTTTCAGTTGGATCTACTTTTCTAGGCTAACTAAATTTCACATGAGGGCAAGGATCCTGTGGAACACAGGGCCAGAGGTCAGTTATGAGGCACTTGGACCAGGACCTACTTTCCTAAGAGGCCCCACTGGCAGGAGCTATGTTCTGTGTTCATGCACCAAACCTGAAAATGAGGGAAACTCAGGAGGTGGAATTTTTGTACATTTAAAGAATCCAGGTAGCTCCACCCAGATTTAAGTCTATCTCTGCTCTGGTGGTACAGGCGGCTCTGTACCTGGTTGCAGTGCCAGGATGTGCCAGGCTGGTCCTTCAGAGATGGGTGTGGTCTGGGCAGCTGGTCATCATTACTGCTGTCACTGTTGTTTTGAGGTTTTTCCTTAGGTCTGTGTTTGCCCAGTCATTGCTCCAGGTGAGACTGGATTGAGGGTTAAAACACTAAATGTTTCTTCTGAAACATAATCCCAGAGTGAGTTGAATAGAGCCAGCTGAGCCCTGCATGGATGGCTACACCCCAAGTGTGGACAGTGCCCTGGCTTCCAGGGTTGGCTTTGCTTCTAGCCAGCATGTAACTTGCTCACTTTCCCAGGCACAATAGTCCCTGTAAATGAATGGTGAGGCCTCAGACAAAATTTTTTAAAAGCAGAAGCGAAAACTTTAGGAAGTAGAAAAACGAGACTATAGATACAGAAAAATATCTGGTGGGAAGCTGGTTCATGGGCCAGACTTTGCTTGGCACTGAAATACAACTGCATGGGGCAAGGTGAGAGACACACTGGAGGTTAGTGGTCCTACTCTTCCCCACCTTCCTGTCCTCGAATCTGCTCACAGCAATGTGTCTTGGTCTGTCACTGAGCTCTAGTGCAGGGCTCCGGTTTGTTGGAGAACATCTTGGGGCCAGCTGCCATGGAGTGGGCAGGCAGGGCACAAAGTTGGGGCTGGATGGCCACAAGGCATGTGATGTCCTGAGTGTGGGGATGCTGGGGGCATCAAGGAGGATTTCAGCTGTGGCTTGAAGTCAAGTGAAGCAGGCACACCCTTGCTTTTTCCTTCTGAAACCTGCCATCCAAGCCTTCTGAGGCAGAGGTGGTGGGGTCAGGGGGGTATAACACTGTTGGGGTGCTCCGTGGTATGAGGGTGTCAGTGGGAAGTAAGCAAAGGCCCTTGAGGGCCATTTCTTAGGAATAGGGGATTTTCTCATTTGGATGAACTATGGGATGGTGGTTAGAATGCACTGAGGGAAAGGTTAATTCTCCTGTGCCATTTGGAGAAGCCATGTCACCTTGAAGTAGGGCACTGAAACAGATGCTGAGAAAGGTAGATTCCTATAGTAAAGATGTGCAGTAGTAGGTCAGGACAAGTAAGTCATCTTGACTTGATTGCACAAATGGCTCAAGACTCTGTGACTTGTGCCATCATAGCAGATGCAGGAGCGGGCTGAGTGGTGGCCCTGACAGTTGGTGCAAGCCTGAGTGATGGAAGTGCTTCCCAGCCACTCCAGTCCAGGCTGTGGCTGTGTTGGGTGGGTGAAGTGGAAAGGCTGGATTAGGTGACAAGGTGCTGGTTTGTGGGGAACAGGAGATCAGGATTTGTTAGAGACCTGGTCTGTGCTCTCGGCATTCAGCTGCCATAAACACAAAAGATGTAGGGCTTCACAAAGACCCGGGAAAAGAGCACTTTGGAAGAAACTTAGTTTCCTTCACATCGTCCCACAATGAAGAAAGAGTCCTGGGAATAGTCCATCCTCTTTCTGGTGGGTTAAGAGAGGATGAACATGTCAGTCCTTGGCATTTAATACAGACAGTGAGCTGGGGTGTAGCTCAGTGGCAGTACTTGCCTAGCATGCATGAGGCCCTAAATCCCATCTCTAGCTCCTCAGTCAATCAGTTGAGGCTCCCGGAGTGTTAGCCAGCATTTGGCCTTGTGAATGAGGAAACGGGCCTACACCAGGTGTTCACTTGAAATTTTGGGTTTTGCTTTCAGCAAATGCCACACATGTGGTTTCTTGTGGCTTCAGTCTTCTTTCTCAAGTATAGAAGCCATATATAGGAAAATGGAACATTAAAAAAAAGTTTTATGTGTGGGATTGAAAACCACATGTCAAATCCCTGGGACACAGTCATAATGATGTTTAGCATGCCTATCCCTCCCTTTCTCTCTTTTTTATTTATAATCTCTCTTTTTAACATACTATACTCATGAGAATAACCAAGACTCTTGCTTTGATTCACCATGGCTTTTTTTGTCATGTGAATTTTACACTTGGTCTTAGCCAAAAGGCCGAGAAGCGATGATGTGGTGAATTTTAAATGTGAAATCCTTGCTATGGCCCAAGGTTGGGAAGCTACCTTAGCTGTATCAGAATTTCACATTTCTGGGGGCATAAAAAAAATGCCAGTCACCCCTTGGCATCTATACAGCCAAGTGCCCCCATCATACCTTTACCACTCAAAGCCTGCCATCAGCCACTTCCTGCTTTCTGAGGACTGCTGATTTCCTGTTTCTTAGTCAGAGTCCTCCACCAGAGAGGAGGCTCAAGTGGTGTGCAAGTTATCCCAGCCACTTTCCACCTGGACACAACCATTGCTGCTGGACCGCAGGTCCCACAGTTCTCTGCTCACCTGATGATCTTACTCAGGAAAGCGCCTAATAGTGTAGGGAAGTAGGAGAGTTTATGGGATTTAAAGATAACCCAGAATATGTTGGAATTTCTATTAAAATAGCCTGATAGCCTGTCGGTAGCAGGTTACTTGAGGTGGCATAGGAGAGATGCTGCCAGTGGGTTTGACTAAGCAGGTGGCCGTCGAAGTCTCCTGGGGACTACTGGACATGTGAGTGACTGCTGGTAGCCATTGTCCATTTGAGGGAGGTTTTCATGACTGAGCGCCTCTCTCCCACCCTCTCTTGCAGGTGGTTAAGACAATTGGCCTCCGGGAAGTGTGGTACTTTGGCCTCCAGTATGTGGACAATAAAGGATTTCCGACCTGGTTGAAACTTGATAAAAAGGTAAGTCAAACTTAACTATTTACAGGTTATTAATTGAGTGTTGGTCTACTCCATTGCCATTAAAACCAGCTCAGTTTTAACTCTGAAACCTTTTGGATTTTTGTTCCTATTGGTGTAAAAAGTTTTTACAAAGAGGTTGCAGACTTCTAGTAAATGAAAATGCAGGTTAGGAATTAGATCCTGGCATTCCTCATCACCCTCCCTTACCGGAGCAGAAGGTGGTTAATTACCTATCTTTTAGTTGACCATAGCTTTTTTTCAGTGAGATTGTTAATCTTAGAAACCATGAATCACTCACTGTGTTGTAAGAACCTGTTATTGCTTTGTTTAAACCTGATAGATTATCTTCCAACTAACCCTAAGATTGGGTAATTCCACAAACAATTATAAAGAGAGGTCATCAGCTGAATGCACTTTATTCAAACCCTGAAAACTTTTTTTTCTCTTAACACCCCCTATGTCACTAACAGATTGGGGTGATAGTGGAAGAAATATGGCACTGAGGCACGTGGACAGATTCCAGGACTACAGATCACTGGGGCTGGGGCTGGGTCATTTCCAGATCTGATCTCTCTGGGATTAATAGCCCCTTCCTAGAAATGAGGGCTGTGACAGTCTGCTTGGCAGGTCAGTGACTTAGGATTCTACTGAGCTTTTTTGTCTCTCGAAAGGTAACTTCACAACAAATACTGCCTTCTGAGAGCAGCTCCTTTGGAGCTTTGGTCAGCAGCCTGATTTTAGGGTGACTGGAAATGGCTCCCAAGCATGTAATGAGTGCTGGCTTTTGTTACCCAGGTGTCTGCGCAGGAGGTCAGGAAAGAGAACCCCCTTCAGTTCAAGTTCCGGGCCAAGTTCTACCCAGAAGACGTGTCTGAGGAACTCATCCAGGACATCACGCAGAAGCTGTTCTTCCTGCAGGTGAAGGAGGGGATCCTTAGTGATGAGATCTACTGTCCCCCTGAGACGGCTGTGCTCCTGGGGTCCTATGCTGTGCAGGCCAAGTTCGGAGATTTCAACAAGGAAGTGCACAAGTCTGGGTACCTCAGCTCTGAGCGGCTGATCCCACAGAGGTGAGCAGAGGGTGCTTGGTGCCTGGTAAGCAGTCACCGGCCTTGGGATGTGGAAGTGGTAGATTGAGAGGAAGCAGGGGACTCTGAAGGTCAAGTACTCTTAAGTACCAGAATGTGCAGAGCCAGCAGTTTCAAAGGCATTGATGATTAACTGAGACATAGTCAGGGTTGGCACACTCCCTTTCTCCTGGAATCTGGCAAGCAGCATGTCACGGGGGCGGGGGGCCGGGTCCTCATCCGTCTGGCTTGTTGTGACCTGTCTGCTCGGCTCTTCCTGGCATATAGTCTCTTGCCTCTGCACAGTTTGCCCTTATTCATTAATGGTCAGAAAAGTTACCCCTTTTGGAAGAAAAAGTCTCGTGAAACACCTTTAAAAATTCTTCCAGCGGGACTGGGTTTATCTTCTACAAAAGGCTGACTCTTCAGGGTAATCCTCAAAAATAAAAATGCTACACATTAGAAAGTAGAAACACAAACTTTGTTGTATTTGAAAGGACAGGGTTTAGGTGACAGTATTGTATCCTCCTCTTGCAATCCAGAGTCATGGATCAGCACAAACTCACAAGGGACCAGTGGGAGGAGCGGATCCAAGTGTGGCATGCAGAACACCGAGGGATGCTCAAGTGAGTGCTGGTTGTGTGGCTCAAATCTGGATCATCTTCTGCCCATCCAACCTGTCTTTTCAGGGGCTCTGAATAGTACTTTCAGAGCAGCCAGCCTCAGGCGAGCACCAGCCTGTTGCCAGGGCTTTGTTGGGGGAGGGAGATTTGTTTTGGTATTGTTGAAACAAAGCCAGGTGGTCTTGCCTGAAGAAAGAAGCAGTTTAAGCCTTCAGATCCTAAAAGCTCTCTCTTCTTCAAAGTCTTGGGTCTGAAACTCATTTTAATTGGGGGGTGGAGGAGTCCTATTCACCAGAAATTAGAATGAGGTTTTTCATCCCTCTGTCAAAGAGGTGCTCGTTTTCTCATTGCTTGAAAGATCATTGTCTTCGAACATATGCATAAGTGCAAACAGCAAGTCCCAGGTGAAAAATAATTGCTGTTAGCACATGTGAAGCATGAAGGACAAAAGAACTTGTGGCTGTAAGCCAGCTCAATATGAGAAAGGACCAGGTTTTCTGACTCTAGGCCCTGTTGTCTTTGAGTCCCACCATGACACTCACGCGTGCACACACATAGTATCTCTGCATTTTCCTGGCTGAGGAGTTCCTTTGCAATTTGGGCCTCAGAGATGTTATGCTTCAGAGTTTCTGAGATGAGTTTCAGAGATGTTATACTTCAGAGAAAATGTCTCAAAGCCTGCAGCAGTCATTTCTTCCAGAGAGAGCAGGGTATGTCAGCAGCCAGGGCCCAGGACAGGAAAGAGCCTCTCAGAGCACTGCTTCTAAGCAGATCTGGTCCCTCAGCTGAACTGCCTTCAGCTGCCCAGTTTCTTGCTTGCCTATGCTGTTTTCCCATCTGTGTGAATGTCCTCCATTTTTAACACTGGCAGAAGTTTAACTATGTGAGATGCAGAACACTACTTAAAATTATGCCTGTTTTGCCTCCCTTTTTAGAGATAATGCTATGCTGGAGTACCTGAAGATTGCTCAGGACCTGGAGATGTATGGAATCAATTATTTTGAGATCAAAAATAAGAAAGGAACAGACCTTTGGCTTGGAGTTGATGCCCTTGGATTAAATATTTATGAGAAAGACGATAAGTGAGTTGAAGCTTATAACCGTTGTTAGCTGGTGGGGTCAAAGGCCTGGAAACAATGGTGGAAATGGCAGTAATGTGTGTATTGGCAGTAATTTTGAAGTATCTGTTTAGCACTTAATCAGCCCAGAGTGTTAAAGGTTTTGGGGCTTTGCCTTGGTCATCTCAGCGGTTAGCCCAGGGGAGGGTCCTCCACTCTCCAGTCTCCAGTCTGCCCAGACCCACCAGCTGCCTGCAGGTCCTGGCACATCTATGAGTACTCTTACCTAGGCAGCCCGGCCAGGTGGGCTCATACCTCGAGACTTGTACTAATTTAACCAGGAATATTTATGGTGCAATCAGACACTTGAAGTTTCTGTAAACAGCCTGTATGTGTAAGTAATTAGCCAAGCCCTCTCAGCCTGCGGGAGGTGTCTAATCACTTCATGGTATTTGCGTTGTCAAGTGAGGTCTGTGAGTGCAGAGTGACGCAAAGAGAGCTGCTTGGCCCCAGGAGCCCAGCCTCCTGCTGGCTGCAGGTGCTCACCTGTACCGTCTATCACCCTATTTCCGTGAGGGCCAGTCTTTTGTGGTTGCTCCTGAGATTAAAGAATAAGCCTAGATTCTAGGTGCTTCCAATCAGAAGCTTCTGGATTTAAGAAGCGGTAGGAAGCCACCCACTACTGTTTCTGGGAAGCATCAGGGAGAGGCTCCTTGGGTCCATTCCCTGAGTTCCCCCTTGAATCCCTTCCCTCTGAAGGGGTCCCCTGTAGTGGCAGAAGGCAGCTATGCCTCTAGCTGAGAAGGCTCCTGGCAGGAGTGCTTTGGTCTGTGTGAAGAGCTAAGTGGCCCAGAGTCCCAGGATGTGCCTGAGACCTGTAACATGTCCTGGTCCCTGTGCTGGCCACAGGCTGTCCCTTTAAGTAACACTGTTGTGTACCTCTTGTTTATGGCTCATGTCTCTGCTGTTCTCAGATGTTTTTTCTCTTAGTGCCCCATATCTCACATTTTCCAAAAGCTTCTCTCTGGAGTTATTGAGAGGAATGGCACTGCTTTTTTTGACAGGTGACAGGTACATAAAGAATCAGTCTGCAGTCCCAGTGAATGTGTTCCTGTCAGAGCCCAGAGCATAGGTGTATTCCACTGAGCAGGGTGGGCTGTGCCCATACCTCACACCTTCCCTTGGTGCAAGTATGGACCTGTGTGGATGGAGGCAGGCTCTGTGCGCTGGGAGCTGGCTCCCATCAGGGATGGACGCTTGTCAGAGCATCACAGGGCCTCTCAGAGAACCTAGAAGTGTGCTGTTGAGCTTGCAATTTGCTCTTGTCTGAGGGTGCTAGACGCAGTGTGGAGGAGAAACAAGAACAGTCTGAATAGATGAAGGACTCGGAACCAGCAGCAGTCCTTCCTTAAAGCCCCTGAGTTGGGAGCTGGGGGCTATCAGCAAGAGCTATGCACAAAGGAAGGGAGAGCACCTGTCCTCCAGGGAACATGTGTGGGAAACTGCCTCTGTCTTTGAACTCCTTCCTTGAATGGCCAGGTTTTGTAACAGAGCCATAGCTAGGGCTGTCCAAACAGGTTTTTCAAGCAGCAAGAAAGAGCCATAGGCAGGGACTTGCTGATGTCAGCATGTAACCACCCCAACCCACAGAAATCTTCATTTCTTCCAAGTAAAATTTAAGCTATGAGCCCCCTGAAGTCCCAGTCTTGCTGCTTCTGTCCCTCTCCACTCAGAAGCCAAACTGGCTGCTCTGCAATGAGATTTCCCCACACCCGGTGTGGGGTTCCCCCAACTTGCCTAGAGCCACACCCTCTCTTCAGAGAAAAGGCACTTAGGTAGACATTTAATCAGTTAGTAGGCCCCAGTTCTTGGCCTTTTGAACAGATACTGACAGCGGGATTAGCAGCAAAAGCAAGAGATTGTTACTCACGTCTGAGGACTGCTGAGCACTTGAGCTGCTGGCTGTTGAGTTGCTGTCTTTACCAGTAGAACTAATGGCAAGAATTAGATAGTCTTGATACATTGTTCAAGGGAGAAATCTAATCTATGATGGAGTATGTAAATTGAGCTATAAGAGATTCAGTGCATTCTGCAAATAAATGTATCTTTATTTTGTCCTTTTTGATACTAAATCTGCTCTGACTAGGACATGTCTCCTGGGGTTGGCTTTTCATGGGAGCCTGGTAGGGGAACTGCAAGCATTTATCACCTCCCCTTTCTTTAAATCCTTAGCTCACAAGAAGGCAGGCAAAAACCCCTTCCTTCCCTGTGGGCAGTAGAAATGGGGGAGGTCTAATGAGCATGCTCTGACCAAATACAAAAACTAAACAATCTAAAGAGAACTGATCCTGCCCCATTTAGTTTAGTCCTTTAAAAGTTCATTTCCCCCTTTAGCCCCAGCCCCCTGGGGCTCACTCAATCAGAAAGTACCTGTGCAGATAGGCAGTTCTGGAACTGGCTGGGCCTGGGGCTCCAGACCTTCAAAGGAGGGGATGCCCAGGGAGCTGGTGGACAAGCTGGGGACTAAAGTGAGGCATGGAAAATGTCTTTTTTTCTTTTTTTTTTGTGCTGTGCAGCTCAGGCTGGCCTCAATGCTCAGCAATCCTGCTTCAGCATCCCAAGTGCTGGGATTATAGGCATGTGCTACCACTCCTGGCTAATGTCGTTTTTCTTTAAACTGTTTTGTATGTAGTTACTCAGGATGGTACTTGCTATATCATCTTTCCACCTCTACTCACTCACTCCAACTTCACATTGCTGAGCCCTTCAACCTCTTACTGATACATTTCAAGAAAATTGCACCATGTGTACATTTTCCCCAAAATGAAAATACAGATCGCTTTCTAGCACTCAGTATGTTACAATATAAAATTTAAGTGCAATGAAATAGTCTTAAGTGTTCATTTGCTGAGTTTTAATAAATATACCTGTAAAATTCTGTAAAATCCAAAATCCTGTCAAGTTGTAGAACATTATCACTCTCCACTGCAGAGTGTGTGTGTGTTGGGATGTGCTGGGGATCAAACCAGGCCTCATGCATACTAGGCAAGTGCTTTCCCACTGAGCTACATCCCCAGCCCCAGCAGATTTGAGTTTAAATCTTTTAACTGTTTTTTCACTTTTAAATCATTACAGACTTTAGAAAGCTTCCAAAAATAACACAAAAAATTCCTGTATGCCCTTCACCCAGCTTCCTCAAATGTTAATATCTTATGTAACCATTGTCCAAGTATCAAAATCAGAGTGTGGACATTGATTCAGTGACAGTAACAATCTGTAGACATTTCCACTTGAATCTGTTCTCCCACTAAGTCTGGTCTCTGCTCCAGGACTCAACTCAGAATCATATTAACATTCACTTGTCGCATTTTTCTGTGTCCTTTCATCTGGGATACTTCCACAGGCTTTGTTATGACCTTTATATTTTTGAATATAAAGTACTGGCTGAATATAAGTACTGGCTAAGTCTGACGTTTGCTCATAATCTGAGTTTTGTACTTTTGGCAAAAGTCCCATAAAAGTGCTGGGTACCTCTGAGGGCCTCCCATGAGGCAGCACATGGTGTCAGGGTGTCTGATCCCTGATGGTGCTGACTGATCACTGGGTAAGGAGGTATCTGCCTGGTTTCTCCATGGCAGTTTCTGACCTTCCCTTTGTAACTGGCAGTATATTTTGGGGCGATACTTTGAAACTATGTAACTGTCCTAATTCTTAAATTTTCATCTATTATATCATTGATTGATGAGATTTATATTAAATACTACTGTGGTACTAGAGATTATAAGAAGTCAATTTCTCCATTTATTGAATTATATTAATATAAACTCACGGATATTTATCTTAAGTCTTTGTGTTATAATCCATTGGTAGTTTTTATTTCGTTGCACAGATTGAGGTTTGGCCCCTTGGACTTGGTGCCTGAGCCCTTTCCACATGGCCCCATTGGTCTGTGAGTGTGACCTTAGCACCTTAGGGTGCTCTGGGCATATCCTGTGTGTTCCCTGCTCCAGCCCTGGGATCAGCCATTTCTCCAAAGGCTCCTGGTCACTGCTCTTGTAGAATCCTTTTTATTTTTTAATTTGAGACAAGCTAAGGTGCCCAGGCTGGCCTAGAACTTGTGATCCTCCTGCCTCTCTGGGATTATAGGTAGACACCACCACACCCAGCCACTTTTTAAAAAAATGTATATCCTAGGAAGGACACTTACAATATAAATCCTTTAGCAGTCTTCTGGGTGGACTATGTTCATGTCCTGCATGTGATCTCTTAAAGGGAAACTTTTTAAAGCTTTCATTTTCCAACTATGGTCAAGAAGAAAAAGTTCTTTAACTCAGAGGTGAGTCATAACCTTCATATTTAGTCCTCATCTTTTGATAGTGCAATTATGTTGTAAGTGGCCATAGATTGTTATGAGGTTTCAAAGTGTTTAAAAGTCCGAACACACCAGAAACCAGAGGCTGGAGGCCTGGCCTGGGTTTTCTAGATCAGAAACTGTTTTGGGAGGCCTGTGTAGATGGGAGCCAGAGAGCAGAGGCTGACTCCTTCCATATCAGGAGTTGGAGATGCTGACCTGGCCATAGGTCTGTGCCTTGAGCAGCAGTCGTTTGAGTTTTAGCTCCTCTTACCAGTGCATTGCTCTTGAGGGTTGGGGCAACAGCTGCCTCCTGATGTCACTCTCTTGGCCTTTCTTTGTAAGGAGGGCATAGGCTGCAGATGGTGTCAGGACCAGGCCATATTATGAGCTTCTCTCTGATGCTCTCAGACCTATAAACAAAAATTCATCTTTAAAAACCCCTAACTCCCATAGATGAAGATAAAATAACAGAAGCATGTTAGCCAGCTGTGTTTTTATGGGTATTGGTGATATCCTGTAGGGCAGAGACATAAAAAGAGGGTGTATACCAAAAGACTTTCCTGTGAAAACCAGTCTGGCCAGAGCTTTGCATCACTCCTACAGCTGTGCCATGACTGCTGTGGCCCACAAGAGCCGTCTGTCAGGCTTAGAAGCCCTCTCACAGCCTTCAGAACCTGCCCACCTGCCTTGACCTAGCTTATGTCACCATAGAAAGACATAAGTCACCTGTCTTTAAATGTATTGGTAGGCAGTAAATTCCTCCCAACCCTGCTATTTTCTGCTGAAGTTACAGAATGTGGGAAAGGACTGTTTTTGATGGTAATATTTGAATGAGAATCTGTCCTTACTTCTAAAATGGTGTTATCCCTGGAAATCCACCGGGAAGCATGAGACAGAACAATGTGGTCCTGAAATCCTATGATAGACTTTCCTGGGAGTGCTCTTTTGTTTCGTTTTTTATGGTACTGGGGATCGAACTCGGGACCTTATGCTTGTGAAGCAGGCGGCAGATCCACTGAGCTAAATCCCCAGCCCTCCTGGGAGTGCTCTTTAAAAAGCCAGAGTTCAGGCCAGTAGAGTGGAAAGACGACGGTTGGGTAGGATCTTGTGGGGCTTTTTTTTTATGTAGTCTCAGGGCCATCTCAAAAGTTGGAGAGTGACATGGGACAGTATCTGGCCAGCCTGGAGAATGCACTTCACTTTGAGAGAGAAGCAGAATCTGAACCAAGCCCCTGGCTGCTCGGAGTATGGCATGTATAGAAAACAAGACAAACCCTTTGCCCAGCTGGTTTCCAGAAATGAAAATAAAAATGCAGTTACTCAAATGAATACAGTAAGAGTCTGTAACACAAGAGACTGCATGGTGAGCAGGAAGAAGCCACTGAGGAAGAGAAGTAAGCAGGCCTGGGGGCCAGGAGGGGAAGGCTGGAGACCTTGTGTTAGAAGGTAGGTTTGGGATTGCGTTAGGCAGCCCTTGGATGCTGAATTGAGGAGTGGGTTGACATACTTGACATGTGTTGACGTATTGAAGAGAGGAAGAAGTTAAGTGAAGTTAGGGAGCTAATCAGATGAGTAGACTGAAAGTAGGGCTCCAGTCATATGAGAGGCAGGTAGGATGGACCTGTGGGGATGAAGGCAGAAGATGTTGGGGTGAATCAAAGGACAGAAGGATGATTAGGAATAGCAATGTATAAGATTTCCAATCCAGGTAAGTAGATGTGGTTAGGTGACCAAACCTAAGGAAAACTAAAGTAAATGGGGGCATGCTAAGATCACACATAGTTGCAGACACTTGACTTAACCTGGGATGTGTAGGGACTATTTGATAATAGTATTTATCATTTATTCTTCTTCTTAGACTAGATTTATATGTTTATATTTTTAAAAGATGAACTTAACAGAAATTAAGACTAGAAGCCAGATGTGGTGATGCATGCCTGTAATCCTAGCACACAGGAGAATCTCCATGAGTTTGAGGCCAGCCTGAGCTACACAGTGAGTTCAAGACCAGCCTGGACCTACACAGTGAGACCCTGTCTCAAAAAACTCAGCAAGAAATTAAGACTAGATTTACAACCCTCTTTTAGTCTAAAGTCATGTCACTTTTTTTAACCATAGGTTGACCCCAAAGATTGGCTTTCCGTGGAGTGAAATCAGGAACATCTCTTTCAACGACAAAAAGTTTGTCATTAAGCCCATCGACAAGAAAGCACCTGTAAGTTCAAGTGGGTTCTACACAGAGTTACTGCATATCATTTTATAGCTAAATTGAGTTTTCCGAGGAACACTCACATTTGTGTATAAGCCAGTGATCCTTTGGGCCATGTGACTACTTGGAGGCCAGGGGTCCATCAAAAAAGCTAGATGACTGCAACCTAAGTTTTCAGGCTGTTTTTGTTCCTTACAAAGAAGAGGGCAGTTCTGTGTCATTGACCTTTGCCAAGCGATGAGCATTTCCCAGAGTGTTGTGTTTCTGCTCTGGCACACCCAGACTCACGAAGCGTTCGTGTTCACATGGAGAGCCATCTTGCCTCCACATGCCGACTTTGGTATGGGTCTGTCATTAACATCTCCCCAGTACCCAGCTGGAGGACAGACCATGAGGGCTGCAAGTCTGAAGGGCCAGACTTTAGAACTCCATTGAACTTACCCACATTACAGAAGGCTCCTTTTGTAGCCAGAGCGTTGCTGGTCCCTAGTTTCTTCTGCCCTAACACCTCCTATACTGAGGTAGGCCTCCACCTTTTCTGTCACTCTGTGACATGGTCTTTGCTCTGGTCTTTCTCATCCTGGGAGGGTAGGGCTAGAGAACAGATAACATTCTTCGAAGATCTTGGAATGTAAAGAATGTGGCTTATTAGCTAAGAGCCGCCAAACACCAGCATATTATGGAAATTGATTTTGGTTTATCCTGTCAGCATTCAAGCTTTTAGTTGTTGTTTGCTTGGAATATTTAAGATGTGTATATATATGACCGTGTGTTGGAAATGGAGTGGGGTTTGTTTTCTAATCATAAATCTGATTTTTTTTTTAAATGCCACTTGAAATTTTTTCTCCTCCATAGAGCCTGTTCCAAATTTATCAGAATTATAGACTGGAAAAGACTTTGCGTTCTCATGTCCTTTTTGTTCCTTAGTTAAAGCGTTAGGTTTTAGTGTGGACAGCAGGGGCTGTGGGTCCTATCTCTGGTGTCCGTTAGGCCTCCTGGGGTTGGGCACTGCTTAGCAGAGCTAAACCTACTTGGAACATGATGTGGCGTTATTGACAACTACTCTTCCCATAGATGGATGGGTTTGTCTAGCATAATTTAAAATAAGCAGTTCTTGACTTTGTGGAAGTATTTTCTTCCTTATTGAAATGTTTCCTGCTGTTTGTCAAGTCTTGACTCCTGCCCCATGGGAGTCTCTGAGTTCTTTAAGATTAAACCAGTGTTTAAGAAAGCCTCTCCAGCTCCCTGGTAACCGCTTCCATTAACATGCTCTCCACCATCCGAGGGTCGTAGTAGCAAACCCACATCACAGGGACAATGAGACTGGTGCAGTTAGAAGAGTGAGGAAAAGTTCTGAAATCTCTTGATAGGTTGCTATCTTTGCAGTGTGATGCTACTAATGTTTTAGAACACTTCTAGAAATGTGGCTGACAGAGTAGCATTCTATGCCAGACTGTTTGAATTAGGGTATGTGTATGTTTAATTCGGTAGAAATTTAGCTCTTGAAAAGCTAAAGAATATTTTATAATTAGAAAATCCCAAGCAGAGGCAGTTACACCTGGCTGAGTCAGTTCGTGTACATTTAGTACTACAGAGTAGCTCCATGTGAATCCTTCCTCAAAGGAGTCGGGTTCTGTGCACCTGGACTGTGCTTGGCCTGAGCAGTCAAGAGAAGCCTGCGTCCCAGCAGAAGAAAGGGATGGAAGCCAGGCAAAGACTAGGCTTCCTGGTGATGAGTCTTAACAACACAGCTGTGACGAAGAAGTAAAGCATGCCAAGGAGTTGGAGAGATGGATGGAGGCGGGGTAGACTCACGGGGAACATGGCCTTTGCCTGGGGAATTAGGGTAGAGGACAGTGTTCCCGTCACCCTCCATCTCTCCCTGGGACTGCCCAGTGGCCTGGCTTGGCGGTCTTTCACTTTGGGCAGAAGAAAGCCAGTTTTATGTTTAAGCTTTCATGTAAGAGGAAAGAAACCCCAGGGGTGACGAGCTGTGGGAGACCTAATCTGCTGGGGCCTTTTCTGCAGGGATCTCTGGGGACTGGGCAGTTTATTCTCAAAAGCCAGCTCCTTTTCTGCCAAGTGCCACAGGGCAGTTTGGGCCACATTTTGACTTGGGTGAGACCTCCATCCCGCTGCACTCACAGCCTGCCCAGGTAGGTGGCCTGTGAGAGCCTGAGGCTGCACCCTTTCCTCAGAACAGAGCCTTTTTGTTCCTGTGGCCTAAGGAGAACACAGACAGGACTCTTGGGCAACTGCTTGCTTAACAGCTTTGAAACAGTGAAAAATGACCAGGCTCCTGCTTAGTTAGCTTCATCCTTCAGAGTTGCCCTCTCCAGAGCCCCTGACCAGGCTCTTGCCACTGCCACCCATCCCTGGTCCTGGCCAGGTCAAGAGGGGAGGGCCTGACGGGGTGGTGGGGGTTTCCTGGAGTCTTGCTTGTGTCACAGCCTCTTTGCCCATTTGCATCCAAAGGATCTTGGGTCCTCTTTCCATACACCTTCCTTATACCTAGCTTCCATTTTTAGAAAGTCTGCCCAGGGCTTATCCTGTTCCTGGTTTTGCATCAGGCGGCACAGTCTGGGGACTTGAGGTTTTTTTTTTAAGTCAGAGACTGGCTTCCTTCAAAGGCAGCTGGAGAAAGTCCCTTCTGCCTCCTCCCTTCCCCTCACCCATTAAGCAACAAACCCCTTATTCTTTTCATTTTCCAGTAGTTTGGGGACCTATCTCCTGGGGGCCAGGGGATAGGTTTCTTATGTTAGACTGAAGGTCTTAAGACCCTTGAATCTCTTTGACTGATTTTCTTCTAAAAGGGAGTTAGTGATAATCCTTGTTTCTTTGAAAATAGTTGTGAGTCACAGCCAGAACCTTTATGGGCAGTGTGCCTCTGAGGCCATTGTGCAGGGTGGTTTTCTCTTGTGCAATAGGTAATAAAAACGCCTGTTCCTCTCAGCACTGCCCCCCTCCTGGGAAAACCCAATGACTTAATAACTAGTGTGTGAAACCCTGAGGGGAGCCCCACCCCGGAAGTTCACAGGCTGAGGACTTGGCCTCAGCCTGTCACCCCAGGGTTTCTGGAGCCAATGAAAAGAACTAAATAAGCTCTTCTTGGGTGTGTTGCTTAGCTGATCCAGCGCACTCTATAGCCCTCTGTCATCACTGTGGAGTGGGGCATCCTGCAGCTCTGCTTCCGCCTTTCTCTGTCCCTGTGCCAGGTGCTCAGGATCTGGATACCAAGGGACCCGTGGTTAAGAGGCATTTTAAAATGCATACACACATTTACTTATTTGGTTGGGGGGAGGTTTGAGACATGATTTGGCCTTGAAATCATTATATAGCCCAGGCTGGCCTCAAACCCACCTCAGTTCTTTTACCTCAGCCTTCTGTTGGGATTACAAGTGTGCAACACCATGCCTAGCTTTAAAATACCTTTAGTGAGTTTCTAGACTGTTCCTTTTCTGCCCCCTAAGTTAATTGTGACAGGAGTTCGGAACCAAGGTGATCATCCCTCCCCTAAATCTGCAATCACTGGTTACAGAATTTGTGTGCTCCTTTCCAAGAAGCCTTCCCTTGTGCCGGGTTTGCAGGCAGCTCGAGTTCTGTCAGCCAGCTTTTACTGTGCCAGGTGCTGTTCCAGCTTCCTTATAAACATGACTTAACCTCAGCTGTCCCATTGGATAGTGTCATCCTGTTCCATGGTTGACACTGAGCCCGAGTGAAGTGACTTGCTCAAGGCCATGGAGTGTGCCCTAAGTGGCTGTCACTGGCAGGTTATTTCTTGAGTGCCAGTGAAACACCGAGAATTGGTTTGATTCTGGGAAAACAGATGAGTGAACATGGCTCTGCTCTCAGAGCTGATGGTCTAATGGGAGCGAGAGGTAGCAGAACAAGGCATTGAGGGACATGATGTCAGCACATTGTGGTGGTGGGTACAAGACTCAGAGGCAGAGTGAGGGTCCTTAGGGAACACAGGGTTGGACAATGCCGCTGAGTAGGAGGATGCAAAAGAATGTCGTCCAGTGCACATGCGGGTGGTGGGGGCCAGCACTCCAGACTGGCACTTGCCAGGCTGAGGAATCTGGGGCAGTAGTGGGTCCACATGCTCATAGCAGTGTGGGAGGTGACAGGCTATAGCGGAGGGAGGCCAGGCAGGAATGGGCGAGGGAAGATGATGATGGCAGCTGTGGGGCTTGAGAGGACAAAAATCACCCAAGAAGACACTGGGAAGAGAGGCTGGTTTGTGGACCATACTGAGTTTCCTGAGGCCAGGAGAAGCCTTGCCTTGGAGTTGCTATGCAGTCTTGAGGTTTCAGTGTGTGCACACCGACCACACGAACACATGCATGCTCACACATGGGTGTGTATGCACCTTCACAGACCATAAACATCCACATTTGTACACACACCTCTGAGGTGTAAGCACCTGCACATCTCTGCTTGTCGCAGAAAACTTACATTCCTGGCACTGAAAATAAACATTTCTGGCCTCTTTCCTCTGCCACATTTGTCCTTTTAGCAAAGGTTCTAGAACTTCATACTTTGTGGTTTTGGGGAAGAAAGCCACCAAAGGAGTCCTTGTCCAAGTTGCCCTTCTCTGTTGGCAGGACTTTGTGTTCTATGCCCCACGCCTGAGAATTAACAAGCGGATCCTGCAGCTCTGCATGGGGAACCATGAGCTGTACATGCGCCGAAGGAAGCCCGACACCATTGAGGTGCAGCAGATGAAGGCCCAGGCACGGGAGGAGAAGCATCAGAAGCAACTGGAGCGGTATGTGGCTTGGTGCTGGGGTGGGCATGTGACAGCTGGCCTGCCTGTCAGGTGACCCCCAGTGGCTGCACTTTTCTAGTCAGAAGAGCCTGGAAGAAGCAGTCTGGTCCTGCTCAGAGCCCAGTCACCCACATCCCCAACCCTTTAGTCCCAGCATCAGCACTGAGGAGGGAGCTGGGCTCAGCATCTGCTCCCTTCATCCTCCACCAATGGTGACGAACCTATGGCACACGTGCTGCAGCAGGCTGTTTGTGTCATTGAAAGCTCTGAAAGGTTTGTCATCATCCTAGACCATCCCAAGACAGCTCCTGCAGATATGCCACCACATCCATATGCCAGGCCTGCCAGAGCACAACCCTCTGTGCTTCCTCCTCTTCCATTCTACAGGCAGCAGCTAGAGACCGAGAAGAAGAGAAGAGAGACTGTCGAGAGGGAGAAGGAACAGATGCTGCGGGAGAAGGAGGAGCTGATGCTGCGGCTGCAGGACTATGAGGAGAAGACCAAGAAGGCTGAGAAAGGTGGGACTGCACTGTCCCACGATGGTTCTGGGTCTCTCTTCTCTTCCCACGGAGGCAGGCGGGGCCTGGACAGAGCTAGGAAGGGGGAAACTTGAGGAAAACATGTCAGTGCTTAACATGTTACCCAGAAACGGAGACTTGGAGCAGAGAAATGATGATAAGGTGTTGAGACTAGAAAATAACTCTGTACTTTACTAACTTGTATGCTAATTTAGTTTTCCCCTCTTTTTTTTTTTTTGGTACCGGGGATCAAACTTGGGTCCTTGTGCTTACGCAGCAGGCAGTGAAACCACTGAGCTAAATCCCCGGCCCTCCCCTAACTCTTTAAAGTAAATACTGACTCACCCCCATTTTTCCTGATGAGAACGTTAAGGTTTACCAAGACAGTGTCATCAACCCACAGTCACTTGGCCAGTGAGTGGCAGAGCTGTGCTGCACCATGCCTGACCACCTAGACTCAAAACCAAGGGCTCCTTAAAAGCCACATATCTACAGTTGTCCAAACAGCTCAGCACCACCGTTGGTCCAAGGATCACGCCATCAGCTCTGCCCTCAAAGCCTCTGGTGTGTGCCGTAGCACAGTGATGGCTGTGTTCACTGGCAGCCAGGGAAGACCTTGGCAGGGCATTTCAGTGTTGTAATCAAGTGCTGAGGTGATGTGGGAGCAATGAGACCCTTCTGAGCAGAATGGTACCAAGAGGGGTCAGACCGTGGCTGGGAAGACTGATGTCTGACCAGCTCTGTACAGTGGTGCCTGAGCATCTTGGGGAGGTTGTCATAGAAGCATAAGCACCATGAGGTGGCGCTCACCGCCTGTGACTCAGTCCCAGGATCAGTGGTTCTGGAAGAGGCTTCCCCTGTGTTCTTCAGCCCACCCTGGGATGGGAAGGGAAGACTAGGGGTGCCCAGTCCCTGGCCTAGGGCTTCAAGCAGCTGTGGTTTGGTGTTTTCCACAGAACTCTCCGACCAGATCCAGAGAGCCCTCCAGCTGGAGGACGAGAGGAAGCGAGCCCAGGAGGAGGCTGAGCGCCTGGAGGCCGACCGTGTAGCTGCACTTCGGGCCAAGGAGGAGCTGGAGAGACAGGCGGTGGATCAGATAAAGAGCCAGGAGCAGCTGGTAAGGATTGCCTGGGTTTCACGATGCTGAATAATAGAGAGGCTGCTTCTGCACCAACACCTGCCTTGTAATGACTTTCATCAGGGGCTGTAAACAGATCTTCCCAGGGGGACGGGACTCGCTGTCGTCTGAGTCCCAGGCTAGGAGGTATATGTGGGCACCCAGGGTCCCAGAGACACAGGGTGGTACTGATGAGCCTCGTGGCTATGGTGAGAGAGGGAGGGACACAGGGTGTAACGTGGAGGCCATTTACCAGCACACGTGAGCATTCATTCACAAATGGACTCTGCCCAAAGGGCTCCAGAAGCCACTTTAGTGTCTGCTTCCCTTCCAGGCTACGGAACTTGCAGAGTACACTGCCAAGATCGCCCTCCTGGAGGAGGCACGGCGGCGCAAGGAGGACGAGGTAGAGGAGTGGCAGCACAGGGTGAGTGTGCCCGGGTGAGGAGGCCTTGTAGGTGGTTGGGAGCATGGTCTGGCGTGGCCGGCAGCACACATTGAGAGCACCTAGGATGTTTCACTGTTATTTGCCAGACCAGCTGCACTGAGGGAGCAGAAATCCCCCTAGGAGCGGGCTTGACCTTGTACACTAGTGAGCATGGCTCAGGGATTAGCAGAGGAACAAAGAGCCTCTTATTTGTTCCTGTCACTCTGCATGTTCAGCCATGATCAGGCAGTCCTGATCAGGAACTAGTTTTAAATCTGATTACTTGGATATGGCCTGCAACGGGGTCCCAGAGCGTGAAACAAGACAGTTGGTATACATTTCAGGCCACCATGGGAAACCCAGCACCTGGGAGGTCTTTGGACCTGAGTGAGAGTCCCTGCTCGGCCACTCAGATATGTGATGAGCCAGGGAGGTAGCCTTACCTCTGAGCCTTAGTCTCCTTATTGTGGAATAGAGGCAATACCCAACCCCCAAGTGCTCCCTGTAGCTTAGAGACTACACGTGCACCTCACACGAGTTTGATGAGTTGCAGCTGTATTCTTGAGACCCGTGCAGAGAGCTCATCCCTCCACCCAAGTCCTGCATTTCAGACCGTCTAGATGTGGTTCGTGCTGTGGACATAACAGGTGCTCTGGAGGCTCCTGTCCCCTCCATCCCTCTAGCCTGGTGCCTCCTTGTTTTCCACCCCACATTCCTATTCCCCTACAAGCAGAAGATTCCATTTTTGAAAAAGTGAGAAAAGCTAGATGCAAAGCAGGTCAGACCAAGCTCATGTCCAGGAAGGGGATGGAGGTGGTGGGTTTGGGTTGTACCTCATGAAGATGCTGGTTGGATTCATGGGCAGGAAAGTGCTAGATGAGCAGCCCCTAAAAAGAACGAGGAGACTACATGCTGAAACTTCAGTAGTTTCCTCCCATAGCTGGGGGCTTTGTTTCTTTTCCAAAATGTATACAGTGAACACATACTAGGATTAGAGGCACAAAAAAAGAAATGGTACTTGTAAAAATGTCCACCATCTGGCATATGGGTTTTCTTGTGCCATGGACCCTTGTGCTGAGCAATGCTGCAGCTGCCAGGACAGGGGAGAGGGCCATGTCCATTTGTTAGAGGAAACAGTCCCAGCACATGCTTGTGGAGGAAGCCACTCACCTGTTAACTTGCTTTCCAAGGCCAAAGAAGCCCAGGACGACCTGGTGAAGACCAAGGAGGAGCTGCACCTGGTGATGACGGCCCCACCGCCCCCACCACCGCCTGTGTATGAGCCTGCGAGTTACCACGTGCAGGAGAACCTGCAGGAGGAGGGTGCGGAGCCCGTGGGCTACAGCGCAGAGCTCTCCAGTGAGGGCATCCTAGACGACCGCAACGAGGAGAAGCGCATCACCGAGGCCGAGAAGAATGAGCGTGTGCAGCGGCAGCTGCTGGTGAGCAAAGCTTGCCTTTCCATTTGCACTTCCCCCATCCTCTCCTGGCCTTCCCACATCCCCTAGGGGTGGGGTCGCTGGGGTTGCAGGGGAGGGCTGGCACTTGACTGACACTGCTTCCTGTTGTAGACTCTGAGCAACGAGTTGTCACAGGCCAGAGATGAGAACAAGAGGACCCACAATGACATCATCCACAATGAGAACATGAGGCAAGGCCGGGACAAGTACAAGACCCTGCGCCAGATCCGGCAGGGCAACACCAAGCAGCGCATTGATGAGTTCGAGGCCATGTAGAGGCCCGGGCAATGCAGAGGGCGCCTGGCAGCAGGGCTCTGCCTGAGGGTCTGGGCAGCCTCGGCACACTGGCTCTTTAGTGCGCTAAACCCAGAAATCCCTCACCATGTTCAGGTCCCTTAAAGCAGTTACCCAGTGGAAGTACTTGGCCAGGCGCACCCTGGTTATTTTTCCCGGCTGTATCATAGTGCCAAACAGGCCTGATTTTTATAATTATCAAATCATTTCCTGTTGTATGCTTGGAGCAGGACTGATGGAGTTAAGATGCCTGTAAAATCCAAGTAAACTTCACACTGGCCTATGTGATGCGAGGTTCAGTATCATTAAACCACATTGCGGCTTACATCTGTGCCATACTTCTACTTCTGAAATGAGCTTACACTGATTTGATTTCTATGAAGGATCCATCTTTGTATATTTACATGTTTTGAGGGGTGAAAAATTAAGTCTAAACTAAAGCCCTCTTCCACATGCAGTGATTTCCTTCCTCCGACTTTCTGTTCAGCTGGCAGAGATCTGCCATGGTCATGGATGATACAGGAGGACTCCAATAAATAAACTTTTGGTTTTTTGCTTAAACAGTTAGAATACATTGTTGGACTTAACACCTAACTAATAATCAGCTCTAGAGTATAGTATTTATATGTAAGTGATAATATGGGTTTGTAACATTAGTTTTAAAAAGGGAAAGTTTTGTTCTGTATATTTTGTTACCTTTTACAGAATAAAATTACATATTAAAAACCACATAACCATGGCACTTGTGATGGGAGGGCAGTAATGAAACTGATTACTTGCTGTAATCACATCTGTAAAAATTCTTTGTGTTCTAATTGCACACTTCAGTGTTTGTGTAAGCTTGTCAGAAATACACGGTAAGATCGAGCCCTGAAGAAACGGACCTAGAAGAACCTTGTTCTCACCTATTTCCTCCATTTCCACATCAGCTTTCCTAAGCCACTGGCTCTGCTCATGCTTAGCTTTCCTTTCTGTACACTTCTTTGCCCTTTTTCAGTTCGGATGCCATGTGCAGGTGTGAATTCCACACTGCAGACATACAAAATGACACTCCATTGTGCAGAGCTGGAAGGCCTGCCGGGACATCCCCAGGCCCTAGAGCTTACCACCTGGAAACAGCACCCACAGGTGAACGTGAGGGACTGAATCCTCACCAGGCTCGTTTTTTTCTCAGAATTGCACACAACAAAGCTGTGATTTTCCCTGTTTGATTAAACAGATGGGTAGCTGCTGAACATTTATTGAAATCTGGCCATTTTCCATGACCCAAACAGTAATCCAAGACTGCTTTATGCCACACTCAATTGCTCTGTTGAATACAGATATGGAGGGCTATTTTAGGCACTGACAGAACTAAATGAGGGTCTTGCCCAGCGGAGACCCCCACACCCTGCTAACCTTAGCAGGCACGCAGCACTTCAACATGCCCAATTTACCCTGGAGCTTTGAAGCTTTGCTTCAGTGCAGGGTAAGTGTCATATCTGTCCATAAGTTGGGGCTGGAAAGGACTTTCTGCCATTGAAGCTTTGATTGTGAACATGAGTCTGTACCTCCAACAGCGTCTCCCTCTGTAATGTGAGACAGACATGTTAATGATGGTGGCTGAGGATTTCATCCCATCCCTTCCCAGCTTTTAAAAACAAGGACCAATGAGGTGTTTTTCACTTCACCTCATAAGAAAATGTCAAGCACTGAGGAGAAACACCCCCAACAGAACCAATATTGAGAGTAGGGTCCTGAGGTATTCCTTAGAACTCCCCCATTTCCATCCCTGTACACAGGGAAGTCCTTAGCCTTAATACCGTGGCTGTGGATGGTGGGGAACCAGGTTTGTTCTCAGGAGGGAGTTTCTTAGGGAAGAGATGTGCTTTGGACAGCATAGGTCTTGTCTGAGGGTCATCAGACGTGTGGGCTGTCTGGTCACCATGTGTGGGAGACACTATCGGCAGCTGGGGGGCAGGGGTGGGGCACAACCCCCCAACAGCAAAGGGCTGCCCACACTGCCAGAGGCATCCCCACCCATGAGCAACACTGAATAGTGTCCCTGTTTGTCCTCTCAATGAAGTACTTTCTGAATTGCCATTTGTTTGGGTTAAGATGTTTTCTTTTAATAAAATAATCCTCTTATGGGCCGGGGATTTAGCTCAGTGGTTCCAGCGCCTGCCTTGCAAGCGCAAGGTCCCAAGTTCGATCCCCGGTACCAAAAAAAAAATAATAATCCTCATGATTGACAACAGAAACAAAAACAAATACTGTGCCTTGCCCATTTTGAAGCCTATAACTTTTGTTTATCAGCTCTAAATCTGATTTAAATTGTCAAAATACTTTGCTGTATTATAGCTCCCTTGTAGACTAAGGAATTTCTATTTATGGTGGGCAGAGCCAATTAAATTGCTGTTATGGAAGCACTTTTTCTTCTCATGGTACCCGTGCAAGTAAAACAATCATAAGAACATAACAAAGCTGTGATTTCCACAACAGTGGGCCCTCAAGTTAGGACGGGCCTGACATACGAACAACTTGGGTTATGACAGGAATTTTAACTTACAAACAGTCTTGAGTTATGACCTGAATGCCAGCTCCTTGTCCTTCCAGATGGTCTCAGATACAGATTTAACCCATAAAGAGTTCTGGAAGGAACATTACAACATCCTTTCCTGCGTGGTGTTGAGAAATCCTGGGCCAGTGTCTCTCTAAAGACACTGAAATCTGCCTATGTACAGGAGAGACTCTTTGAAGGCTATGTAGAGGAGCCTTAAGTTACAAGCAGCCCCTGAGAATGAATTGAGTTCTTAAGTCAAGGGTCCACTGTATTTGAGAAGCATTGGATGACATATTACCCATGAAATATCTTAGACTTACTTGAACCAAGTCTGGCTCCCCCCAGCAAGCGGTCGTTCATACCAAAAATGGCCTGGTCCCACACAGTTAACTCCAAGCTTGCCTGCCTCAGCTGAGACCTGGTTATACCATTGAACACAAAGGAGTGTTTCCACTGGGGACAAGCTTGCTTCTTCAGCACTGGGGACTTCAGACGCAGTTTTTGTTGGTCTGGCAGAGTAAGACAGCTGAGGGAAAACACAGACCCTGTGACCACTGCCATCAACATGTCCCCTCTTCCACTTGGGTGCAAACTAAACACCAAGTGCTGCATCCAACGTAAATACCATTCTCTGCCATGAACTAGGATGGACATTACAAGGCCATGTCCCTTTTGCTAGGATTTTTCAGAGGTGGATTCTGCCTCAGGTATTACCCTCAAAGTGGATTTCTGAGACCACGTGGTCGTCATAATCTCTACCAATCACTATTTGATGGCACATTCTGTGCTACAGTGACCAGGGCTTTATACATACAATCTCACTTTCCTCTGTTCTCAGGAAAATAAATTTTAAAAAGCTAACTCAGCTGACCCAAGGCCATACAAAGAAGAGACAGGATTAGAACACAAGTGTTCTGTCTTGACAAAGCAGGCTGTCATTTTCTCATTCTGTCAGTGACTGGGGATTCAGCATTTCAATATAATTAATGTTGTTTACTTTACTTTTGGAGATAACGAACACACCTGCACTGACTCAGAATAAAAGGTGGACTCATGCATGTGTCAGCTAATCCAAGAGAAGTTTTAAGCTAAGGAAATATTTACTAACACTACTTTTTTGTACTTGATTTCAAAGCTGATTTATTGATATAACAAGGAGTAAGAAGATAAGAGGTTCAGGTTAAAACACACTATTCCAAATCAAGCCTCAGCATTCCAAATTCCAAGAATTCTTGGAAATCAGGGTCTTCAGTAGCTGCTATGTTGGATTTTCTTAGGAAATCTAAAGTAAGATGAATATAACATGGCTACACTTCCTGGTATTTCTTACACAAGATAATCGATAAACAGTAGTTAGTTACTAATACCTACCCTTTAACAAATGAGTTTAAGGTGCCATCTGACCGCACAGGTAAATTCTTGGCTCCCAGCACCACCAAACAAAGTTGACCATTAAGTGATGGCTGATCTCCTGGAAGGAAAGGACTATCAAACCCACTTCTGAGATGTTAGTATGTAATCCCACCCCCTAAAACAGTGTCTTAAGGAGGCTGACACAGCCACCAAATCCCATGGAGCAGGTGGGAAAATGGGCATTTTCCCTAGAAGATTCTGCTGGCCCTGTTCTCAAGCTACCCATGGTGATGACAGGATTGTCAAAGCCCCAGGAAGGTAAGGGCTGCAGAGTACAGAGGAACCCCCATAGAGAGAAAGATGTGGAAGTTTTTGTCTGGCTATGGCCAGCAGTTTGGGATACCTGAGTGTCCCAAGCCCATTTTAAGGATAGGAATGACCCCCGGGTGCTTGGTGCTGGCCTGCTCATGGCCTAGTAAACTCAGAAGCAGGATTTCCTCTTTCTTCCCACCAAATAGTCTCTAAATGTACGATGGAAATGACTGTTCTCCTTGTCTTCCTTCATCTGCCCTTACAGTTTCCACACACTGCACATTGTCTAAGTTAAATCCCCGTAATATCCTCAAGGGCCTGTCCATGTCACCTGCTGGACAACAGCTCTTTCCTCTGAGCCTCGCAGGTACCAGTGGCCTGAGAAGTTCTCTTGGTTCCTTGTGGGCTAAATTCCTCATCCATAACATGTCCCAGAGTGTAAAGAGGGGCCATGGTAGAACCAGAGACTGTCCAACGTGCCACTAGGAGGAAAGCCTCCAAGCCAGTGTCATTAGAGTGGTGTAAGTAGGCACTGGAGGCCTTGCCTGTTAGGGTACTCCAGTCCCCCTCCCCACCCCTAATCCCTGGCTATGGGTTCTGGGGAACCACCTCCCAGGCTACCTCCACTTCTCTCAGTGAGAGTTCCTGGAGTATAGAATCAGTGGACAGTTAGAAGGAAACAGTAGGAAAGTTTCTGCCCCTCCCTCAACCTACCTTCCCTCCAGGGTTTGGGGATAGTGACAACAAATCCTCAGAGGCCCAGAGTCACCTACCTTCTTTAGCTTCCTGGAGCTTTCTAGGCTCTGCAGGAAGGACCAGTTTGGCCCGAACAGCAAGTTCTCCATTATTCTGAGGAACACTATCTTCATATTTCTCAGCCTACGGGCAACAGACAGAAGTCAGAAGCAGGACTGCCCTCCAGAACCTGCTGTGCACTTGGGTTGTCTCAGCTCTGTCCATATGTGCTCCCTTACCGCCCCTGCAGAGTCTCTTAGGCTCTGGCAGGGGGCCCTGGGATGGAGTGGTCATGTCCATGCTGGATGGCTCATCCTCTGTAGTGACTCACCTCTGCCATCCTCACCACACACCCCACCCCCCAGGGTGGAGAGAAACCACCCCAGCAAATCAGAGGCCAGGCCTATGGGACTAGGACAGTCCTAAGAAAACCTGGCACAATCTATTTTTCAAAAGTAAATAAAACCAAGCCTACCCCATCCTCACTTAGGTCAATAAGATTTCAATCTACCCTTCCATACATGCCAAGGTCTGCTGCAGGCACAGGATCCAGAAGGAGCCACAGTCCATACCCAAAGCCACAATGGCCCTTCAGGCTTTGAGTCTGGGACCACTTTGTCCTAAGCCCCTGCTGAGGGCACCCCTCTCCCTACCAAAGTGTTTTATCTGGTCATGGGTGATTCTGTCAGAAATGAAAAAAGGACCCATAGAAGAGACGATCCTGGAATCTCATCAATCTTTCACTCAGAGGGGTGAGAGAAGTGTAGTAGGAAGGACCTACATTTACTTGGTCTGTATGCTGGGGCAGATCCCACTAGCAGAGAGAAGCAGCCCTCAGGGTAATGGCAGAAGGCCCAGGACTCCTAGAAGGCTGCATGGGCCAGCCTCTATGCTGAAGCATCGTGTTTTGGTTCTTGGGTGCCAGGTAAGATACAGCTGCTGCCACCCTCATTATGCAGAAACCAGGCACCATCACCAGAGCCCTCTCCTGGGAGCAGGCCTATGAGCACACAGTCCCATCCAACACCAGGCCACAATCCAGTAGCTGGCCTCAGGAGAGGCTCCTTTTGCTTGGCACTCTGCTCCTAGTCCACTTGCCAAAGAAGGCTCTGTTGGACAATGTTGGTGGTGGCCTATCTTATACTAGGCCCTGCACCAGGGGCTGTCAACAGAGATCTTCCAGGGCGTCTTCAGGCTGACAACAGAGGAGCAGGGGACAGAGAGTGTACTAGGGGTTTAGCTGCTGCAAAGGGAGTCCATGGTCGGGGAGGGGGACACTCAGTCCCAAACCAGACATCACCTTGGCTCGGAGCGGATACCAGTGGAAAGACTGTGTTGCACTGTCTTCAAAGTCCCATGTGGCCAGAGGAACAATCACTTCACCAAGGAACACCCTTCGGGCGAGCGTGCCCACGTGCCACACAGAGACCTGCAGCTGCCGGGTCACCAGCTGGGCAGGGTCCACCTGGTACTGCAGACACACAGGGAGATGGTCAGTGGACTCCCAGGGTTGATCCCCAAGACTCAGCTGAGTGTGTCCAGAACACCGAACTAACCCATTTGTTCCTATGACGCCCCAGTCAGTGACCCAGACAGACCACCAGGCAGTGTCTGCTGCCCTGTGAGAAAGGAGCCTCCCTCCGTGTCGTCCTCCTGAGGCCAGCACCCTCATATCCACTGCACTGCCACTCTCCTGGTGGCCCCTGCTGACTTCCCTCTGACCCTCAGGTACACTTCTTAGGACCTCACCAACTGTCATCCCTAACTGATAAACAGGATTACTCCTTTCTGCTATGTCAAAGAAGACTTATTTTCTACTGCTCTGTGGCCACAAGCCAGCACCAGCTGCCCCTAAGACCACTCCAGACCCCATGGGCTTCTGACACAGGAGGTGCCTCCAAGAACAGGGACAGGCAATATCAAGGCCTCAGACCTGCTACCTCAGTTCATCCTCCCAGGCCCATTCCAAGGCTCCCCGGGTGCGTAGGGTGCTCATCGGACAGGGGGTGCCCAAGGGAGCACAGGGCCCAGAACACTTGAAGGCTGCATTTCTAGATGCTCAACTTGAACACTTTTCTCAAAACTGACTAGAGGCAGTTCTCATGGTCTACCCCAATCTTCCCCTGATGGCCTCCCTAGGGCTGCATAAACCTCCTGAGTGCCAAACCAAGGGATATTTTGAAATACTGGTTTTTATAACCCTTTTTTGTTTTCCCCTCTGGTATGGGGGACTGAACCCAGGACTTTATGTATGCTAAGCAAGCACTCTACCACTGAGCTACAATCCCCACTGTTTTGTTTTCGTTTGGTTTGTTTTTTTTTGAGCCAGGGCCTCACTAAATTGCCTGGGGCTGGAATACATGAATTTCTTTAAGAATTACAAAAAAAAAAGGGCCAGGAGTGATGGTGCATGCTTGTAATCCCAGCACTCTGGGAGGCTGAGTCAGGAGGATCAAAAGTCCAAGCCCAGCCTGGGCAACTTAACAATTTGGCAAGACCCTCCCTCAAAACAAAAACTAAGTAAAAAAAAGACTGGGAATGTAGCTCAGTGTGAAGGCCTCGGGTTCAATCTTCAGTGCAGCTGAAAAAAGAAAAGTTATCATATGATATATATGAATGGTCCCCCAAAATGAATATAATTATTATGTATTGCAAACATATACCAAAAAAAAAAAAAGAGTCTGACCTGTGTTGGGATGCTTTGAATTTAGATTATAGGTATAATTCTTTCAAAAGTATCTGGAAAGTTTCCCAGAACTACACAATATTCACAGGAGTCTTGCTAAAACCCATGGATAAAAATAATTTTAAATGATTGCTCTGAATTCTATGCACAATTTAAAGTAGATAAAACTTTTTAAACTATATAACTAAATATTTATCTAAAACAATCCTCCTCTCTAAACCTCTAGCACAAAACGCCTTTCTAAACTTTTGATATCAACTTAAAATGTGTGAGCAGGCATAATCCAGAGTTTTCCAGATCTCCCAACAGGCACAGGAACTGCAGGCCACCCAGCTGGGTGAGGCCAGCAGCATCCCAGCATGCAATGGAACTTGTGGGAACAGTGGCATCTCAGGCTCCACCCACACCCACTGAGTCAGAATCTGCAACTTTTAAAAATTCCCAGGGGATTCCTACACAGAAGAAATTTGAGAAAGGCTGCCAGTTCATCATGGCTTCAAGCTAAGTACTTGTAAGTATTCCCTAAGTCTCGGTTTCCCGGTTGGAAAAGGAGGATTCTGGTGTCTCCCTTAGTGGGTTTATAAAGCACTTGGCCGCAGCAGGAGCCCCGGAAACAATGGCTATTATTATTTAATGAACTCCGGGCTCTGTGCCAGCCGCCCAGATGGCCTCTGGCTGGCAGTTCACAGACACCCTTATTTGCCAAGGCAGGCAAACAAAGCCCTCTCCTGTCCCCAGCCAGCATGAGATGGCGGGATTTCTGGGCTGCCCAGTTCTGACTGGGGTGTCCCCCAGCTCTGGCTGCCCTTCTGGCTGGGGCTCCCACAGCTGCCTCTTCCCCTGCCAGGCTGCACTCTGCTTCTCCAACCCAAACTAGGGTGTGAGGCCCCAGCACTGTTCTAAACCATAATCTCATTTGTTAGCATCAAAGCAAATAAAAAACATAAATAATTCCTTTTAATTTTTTTCATAAAATGCCTTTTTTCATAAAAAATGAAGAAACCTGAGTTTTTCATGTATTACAATACAGACGCACTTCTGCAAAGATAGTGACTCACCTTTATTTCCAGGGGCCCTTGTATGAGCATACCTCTGTGATACTTATACAAATGCAACAAGACAAACAAATTTTTTTTTTTTTTTGGTACCAGGGATCAAACTCGGAGTCTTACACTTAGGAGGCAGGGACTGGAAACACTGAGCTAAATCCCCAGCCCTAGACAAACCAATTTTTAAAATGACTCTGTGCTTAGTTGTCAGCCTGAGACACAGAGGCAGCCAGGTTCTGTCCTCATTTTCTTAGAAATCATTAATAAAAAGCCATTCTTAAGTCTTGCAGACTCTACACTTTTCCCGTACAAAGGCTGCAATCTATTTTCGGCCAACTTGCCAATGACTGACAGAGCCACAAAGAAATGTTTAAGTGTCTGCACTTTTATTTAACTGACTCAAGAGTTTGAAAACACCATTGTTGGACTCTGACCCATGTGGACAGCCTGGGACTGGGAGGGCTCAGGGCATGAATATTTGTCCAGAAAGTACCTTCAAAGTCTCCTGAAAGATTGGGTCCAGTGTGTTCTTCTGGACTCCAGTCTTGCGCTTCCCCTGGGAGGACCTGTCAGGCAGCAGGTAGGTCTTTACATACCTGTGGCCAAACGCAGGACAAAGTGAGAGCTCAGTAGAGGGCTGACAAAGAATCCTAAGAAGTAGAACCCACACATCAGCATTTTCTTTACACTGCTTCCTTCTGGATTTTGAGTTGATAGAAAAGGCTCAGTGACCAAGACTGACATGGGCAATACTAATGAATCAGTGGCTTTGACCAGTGTTGGCTATTTAATCACCCTGGAATATTCCTGGGGGGAAAGAGGGAAGCTCTGCCTACCTTGCTCATGCCCTATTCCTAGAATCTGTGTCCTTTTCTCCTCTGCCACTTGATGAGCACCTTGGAACCAGATTCTTCAACCTGAACAATGGGGCCATGCCCCAGCTTCTCTGCCTCTAACTCTACCTGTCACTATCTTCTAACCCCATAAGAATAAAGAGGAAATGGAAAGCTCAGGGCTCACATTTTGCTTTCTCCTTAAGCTTCAAAGACTGTGCTCTTCTCTACTAAGGGTTCTGTTTTTGAACTTTTATATAAACAAAAGTGCTCACATATAGTCTTCTGCAACTTGCTTTTTTTCCACTCAATATATGAGATTCATCTACCGCTATGTGTAGCAATAGCTCATTTATATTCCTTCATATTGTTGCAGGAAATATGAAATATTACATTTCCCAACCTGTTAACTGTGTGATACGCTGAGTTCTTGTTCTCTAGAAATTGAAGAATGAGTCCTAGGAATGATGGAGGTTAAAAGTAGGAAGATATTTAGTAATAGGAAAGCTCCTGAGGGGCAGGAGGGGTCCCGAGCGGGTAGCCCAGGGACCCCACTTTACAGAGAAGTTTTATAGGGTGAAGCCCACGTGGGTACAATGTGGGCCACAGCCATGAACATCCAATAAGGTTACAAGTACAATCACTTAGGTAATGGTGGTCCAATTGGGAAGCAAGTCACGTAGCTAGCATGGATGGAAAGAACAAGAATTCTCCTAGGGGTCAGTGGGTCCAGAGGTCTCTGGTCACCCCCAGAGTGGTCAATGCCTACCTATACTTCACTAAGCCCAGTTCTTTTTTTTTTTTTTTTGGTACCAGGGATCAAACTCGGGTCCTTGTGCTTGCAAGGCAGGCAGCGGAACCACTGAGCTAAATCCCCGGCCCTAAGCCCAGTTCTTTAAAGGAGTATGTGGGTCTGGTCATCTTGTCTCCATCTTGAGGCCTGGTTTTGAGCTGATGTGGAGGTGTGGTGTGTTTCACCTTTGTCCTGGCCCTCTCAAGAACTTAGCCCTATCTGACTACCTATAATATTTCTACCTAGCTCATCTATCTATAATAATATGACTCCATTGTACAAACCTACCATGAGTCATTTAACCTCCTGAGGAACCTTCGTCTTATGTCTTAGTCTTTGCTATTATAAACACTTCTACTACGACCATTATACTTATTCCTGGTGCACCTATGAAAGAATTTCTAGGCACAAAACCAAGAATAACAGGGTATGTACGTGTGTGTGTGTGTGTGTGTGTGTGTGTGTGTGTGTGCACATGCGTGTAGGTGGCTAGGAGAGTTCAGGGGATTGAACTCAGGGCCTTATGCATGGTAGGCAAGTGCTTTATCTTTGAGCTATACCCACAGCTGGTATGTGCATCTTCATCTTTACTAGATCATACCAAATTACTAATTCAATCTCTTTAAAAGATATAGGACTATTCATGTTTTCTATTTCATCTCAGGTCAAGCTTTGGTAATTTGTGTTTTATAAGATATATGTCTATTTCATCTAAGTTATTACATTTATTTTATAAAGGTTTACATAACGGCCTATTATTTTTTAATGTTGGTAAGTTCTGTCATAATGTCTCTTCTTTCTTTTTTTTTTTTGCCCTGTACCAGGGATCGAACTTAGGAACTTGTGCTTGCCAGGCAGGCACAGCATCACTGAGCTACGTCCCTGGCCTTCTTGTTTCATTTTTTTTTAAATGACTGTGAAAGGTGAACTTTTAAAAAATTTTTTGGTACTGGGGATCGAACTCGGGACCTTGCGGTTGCAAAGTAGGCAATGGAACCACTGAGATAAATCCCTGGCCCTCTTCTTTCATTTTTGATATTAGTATTTGTTTTATCTTTATAAATTTAGCTATGAGTTTATTAATTTTATTGATCTTTTTAAATTTGGGTTCATCAATTTTTCTCTATTGCTTCTTATCTCACTTATATGTGAGTTATCTCTACTATTTCCATCATTTTGTAGAACTAATTTGCTCTTCTTTCTTAGCATTTTAAGGTGGAGGTTTAAAGAGTTTGTGCTTAATCTTTCTTTTCTTTAAGTATGAGCACAGCTTTTACTGCATCCCTCCAATTTTGAGATGTAAAAGGGGTCATTTCTGGAACAAAGACTATTCCAAAGTCCCTGAAGTACCTGTATAAATTGAGGAATAATAAAAATTAAACCCAAAAAGATAAAGGAGACTATTATGGAAAACCATAGGTACTCTAGAAATTTGGTTTTCTGATTTTTTTTGTTTTTGACATTGAAAAGCTGCTGAAGAGTTTCAGAGGAGAATATTTGATTGAATCAGCAGTCCATTCCTTTTCCATCACTCCCCAGCTGGCAATTAACACAGTGTATCAACGGTTTTCCATATAGCAAAAAAAGGCAAAAATGAAGTTCTTGCATTAGACCATACACAGAAAATCAATTCCACTTCTAATGGGAAAGGGTCTGAATTTTTAAAAGATATTTTAGAAGAAAATAGAGGAGAATGTATTTATAACCTTCAGATGGCATGGGAACTCTACACATACAAAAAGCAGGAGGTTTTTTTTTTGATTTTGGTTTTTTTGTTTGGTTTTGGTGCTGGGGGTTGACCTCAGGGACTTGCGCATTCTAAGCATTTGCTCTACTACTGAGGTACACTCCCAGTCCCAAAAAGCAGAGATTGTAAAGGAAGATATTCATAAATTTGATATTATCAAATTCTCTACCAGCAAAACCATTGGAAATAAGTTAGAAAATAAGGAGTAGCTGGGTAACATATGTAAGATACATACAACCAATGAAGAACTTCGAAAAACCTACTTAAGTAGATTTTAAAACCAGGGGTGGCTTTAAATATAATCCCAGCTGAGATAGGAGGATCACTGTGAGAACTTGTTTAAAAACAAAACATGGGCCGGGGATTTAGCTCAGTGGTTTCACCGCCTGCTGCACAAGTGCAAGAACCAGAGTTCGATCCCTGGTACCAAAAAAAAAAAAAAAGATAAAACAAAACAAAAAACAACAGCAACAACAACAAAATAGATTTTAAAAGACATGTCTATAGTCTACAGATGTAGCTCAATGGTAGTATGTGCTTTGCATAGGCAAGGCTCTGGGTTCAATTTCCAGTACTACGCACCTGCACACAAAATTTTCCTATAAAAAAGAAAATGACAAACAAATAGTAAAATGGGCAAAAAATACGATCAGAAAGTGAACAAAAATGGAAATCTAAGTGGCTAAAGCATACATGTAAAAAGTTGCTTCTCTTTGCTAATAATCAGGGAAATGTACATTTAAATAATGGTGCTTCATAATTTCATGTCTATCAGTTCAAAAAACATTTTAATGTATTTATGAATTGTGTGAGGCAAGATTTTAATTTTGTTCTTCCTGTATGGAAAGCCAAGTTTTCCAACACCATTTATTGAAGTCCACTTTCCCCCCAACTGATTTGTAATGGCTCCTACCACAGACTGAATGCTTATGTCCCTCTTAAATTGATATGACAAAACTTTACCCCAGGGTGATGGTACTTGAAAGTGGGCCTTTGGGAGCTAAGAGGACAGCCCACATGAATGGAATCAGTACCCTTATTAAAGAGTCCTCAGAGAACTACCATGCTCCCTTCCTCCATGTGGTGACTGAGGCAGACAGCTATCTAGGAACGAGGAAACTGACCCTCATCAAACATAGAATCTGCCAGCACCTTAGACTTCACAGCATGCAGAAGTGAGAGAAATAAATTTCTGTTGTTTATAAGCCACCTAGGCTAGTGCTCGCTTTGGCAGCACATACACTATGCCACCCAGTCCAGTCTTCTTTTATAACAACCTGAAGGGTCTAAAACACCTGTTGACCATATAAAAGTTCCCATACATACTAAGGTCTGTAGGTGGACCTTTGATTTTTCTCTTTTAACCCACTTGTCTATCCTTGCATCAGTAACATTATTTGAATTACTACAACTTTCTAATAACTGTTGAAGTAAGTCTTTTCTATTACTGTGTTGGTTATTCTTAGAATTTTGCACTTCCATATAAATTTTAGAATCAGTACATGTATCATCTTACACAAAACTTTAAAAACTCACGGATTGCATTTTTTCTTCTTTTCTTCTCCATAGGCAAGATTCTTACAGGTCTTGATGCATATTTCTAAACAATAAGTTTTGAAGCAATAACGAATGGCAAATTCTATTTCTCCAGTGACGTCAGTGTTGTCAAAATTACTCGTTTCTGTGCAAGTGCTGCTAATGCTAATTATACTTCCCTGAAATCAAGAATGAGATATAATAAATTGCTTTGCAGTTAATAATTTTTACAGTTCTGATTTCAAGATGTCAAATAAATCATAATCCACACAGAGCATATATCTTGACTCTCATTAAGCTAATAAGCACCAGCTTGTACTCTGCCAAAGTAAGTAGCATCCTAAGAGATGGGGAATCCCCAGAAGGCCCTGTCTTGCCCAGATATGGTCTTTGCCTAACATTAAAGGTTCCCAAATCCCATTCTTTAACATGGATCCTTTGGGATGAAGTGTCTGTCTCCTATGTGGTTCTGCAGGATAACTCTTGGTGGCAGAGATCATTCATAGCAGGACAGCATAGCATGGGGCTAAGTGCCTGAGAATGGGAATCAGACAGATTCAAATGCTGGCTCTGTAACCTACTGGCTGTGTCAAAATCTAACTGGGGAAAATCATCCTGGTCTCACAGGATTAGGGTGAGGACTGAATGGAAGGAGGTATATGAAGTGTGCAGTCAGAGGTAATGATAAATTGTGCTTATATTTGTATGGGTACCTAAAAAAACTACCATCATAAATCAGGGCACTATATGCTTAGATGTTTGAGATGAAATAAATTATCACTATTAAATTTGCTTAAACATTGCCACCATTTGTGTGCAATCAGTCTCAATGCTGACTTTACAAGAATATAGAAGCCTGATTTCTGCTTCTAATGCTAACCAGTTCTTCCACATTATAAAATACCAAGGCAGAGACTCAGAACCCCTAGAAAGAGATTTTAAAAAAATCAAACCACGTAGTGGTGCATGCCTGTAATCCTAACACTTGTGAGGCTGAGGCAGGAGGATTGCTGTGAGTTCGAGGCCAGCCTGGACAACATAGCGAGACCCTGTCTCAAAAAAAAAAAAAAAAAAAAATCAAACTAACAATTCCTCAGAGGAACTGGACCTGATTAATCAATGCCAAGCATATTCCCAGCTCCACCACACCCAGTTACTGGCTCTGAAAAATGTCATCTGCTAATGCCACATAACTGCTGCATGGAAAACAACTTTAAAACTGTACACACTCAAGAACACATGAGATGGTGGAGCAGCATGAATGAATGAGGTATAAAAAGTGAAGACAGGAAAGAATGGGTAGAGGAGTTGTCAAAAAAAAGGGAGCTACTTAGGAGAACAAGGTGGATGAACGGAGGAGCGTAAGAATTCTGCTCAAAGAGCATTCTTCTTAAAACTTCACTTTAGGTTATATCACACTAAGTTGTACTATGCTAACTTTTCTGCCAACAACAATTAGAAAGCTGAGTGAGTTAAACAGTTAAACAATACACTGTAGAGCTACCAAGACAACCAGGACATTAGGGTCCAAGAAGCTAGTGAGAAGAGAAGCACACTGAGATAAGCCTGCTGCTCTGTGCTGCTTTTCTCTCTGAGGCTTTTGTGCACGTGCAAGCAGCACAGGGCTGGAAAACTGAGAATTCACTCAACAAAAGAGCTGAGAGATTCAGAAGCTAAGCACAGGTTTTAGCAGTAGGATAGGTTTGGGAGACAAAAATTAGCATCCAAGGGAATGAAGGCACGCACAACTCCAAAAGCCAAATTCCCACAGAAAAGGAATATGGACTGGAGAGTGAAACCAGATCCTGCCTTTCCCCTCGAGGTCTTTGCTGAATTGAAAGGTATAGCTGAGATACTGAGAAGCTTAGGAATAAATACCATCAGAAGTTCCACCATAATAGAAACAAAAAACAGAGTTCTGGCTTACCACAGAGTAGGGGCTGGGAGATGTCTAGACTTTCAGCAGAGACTCCTCAAATGCTTTCTTACTAGAAGCAAGAGTCAGTGAGATGAGACCAATGCCCTCACAAGCATTGAAGCCCAGCTCTGCATGAGCTCAATCCCAGACTGGATAAAGACCATTTCTCTCCACTCTAGCTGATCTTTAAAAACATAGTAAACTCTTTCTGAAGGAAGATAACATCTATCTAAGTCTCAGTTTATCCCATTTTAAAAATACATAATGTCCAAAATTCAATAAAAAATCACCAAGTATATCAGGATTAAAAGGTGCCCAACTGGCCCAGTTTCCTTGGTCCTGAGGAATGTCCTGGTATGTAGCACTTGAAATGCTGAAACCAGGAGAGTTTAGGGTAAGCCAAGATGGTTGGTCAGGAATAAGTGACCAAAAGCATGGGAGAAAACCACAATAAAAACCCACAGCTGAGAGCCAGGGATTTAGCTCAGTGGTTCTGGCACCTGCCTCATAAGCATAAGGAGCCGAGTTCGATCTGCAGTACCAGGAAAAAAAACCAAAAAAACCCCAAAAAACCAAAAACCCACAGCTGATCCAGATATTGCCATTGTAAGACATGAACTTGAAAATAACAGTGATTAATATGGTCAAGAAAATAGATAACAAGACAGAGAATTTTTTCAGAGAACTGGAATCTAGAGGAAAAGAACCAAATAAAATTTAGACCTAAAAATTAAGGTAACAGAAATGAAAGAATTTCACAAATTAACTTAAGATCAGACACAGCTGAAAGGAGGACTGGTATACTGGAAGATGGGTCAGTAGAAAATATCTAGAAAGGAATACAGAGGAAAAGATGCAAATAAAAGTGTAGAGAGACACTGGATATAATGAAAATGTGTAATGTATAGAGTCTCACAAAGAAAAATGGGGCAGAAAGTATTTAAAGAGATAATGGCTAAGAATTTTACCAGACTGACAAGAAAAAATAAACTACAGATTCAAGAGTAAAAAATAATTTTTAAATAAAACTACCCATAGGCACATAATAATAAAACAGCTGAGAAGATAGAGTTATTTTTGTTTTTAACTAGAGATTGAACCCGGGACTTTCAGGCTAAGCTGCATCCCCAATCTTTTTTTTTTTTAAAGGCCCTCACTAAGTCACTAAGTTGCTCAGGCTGGGCTCAAACTTGTAATCCTCTTGTCTAGGCCTCCCAGAGTACTGAGATTACAGGTGTATAACACCACACCTGAATCTACTTTTCACAGAGGAAAGAAAAAAACTTAACTGCCCAACAGAAACAATAGAAGTCAGAAGATTTGATTAAGCTCAAAAAATTCAAGAGAAGAAGAATATGAAGGCAGGAATTCAAAGTAGGAGAAAAAACCAGACCACAAATAGGTAATAGGAGAAATAGAAAATAAGTCAGTAACATAATGTATTTAACCCCAAATATACCAGGAATTACAGTGAAATACAACAGACTATATACTACAAAAAGGATAAAAATTATCTAGATTTTAAAATATCTGACTAGACTTCCAGGAAGACGGCAGAGTGGTGAACAGCACAGAAACAGCCTCTCCGAGATTTGATGTCTAGATGTTAGAATATAGCAGCATGAAGAGGAGGAGGAGGAGGGAAGTCAGTCCCCAGAACCTAGCAAGGATCTGAGTCAACAATTGAAGCCCACAAGGAGAGTGAAGAGTCAGATCTCAATGAAGAAGGACAAAGTGGCAAGTGGTGCTTTATCCTTGAGCCCTGCTCACTGCATGGGAAGAGTAGCTCGAACCTGCAGATGCACGGTGACTGCTGGTGACCTCAGAGGCCTCCACAGGGAAAGACACCAGTGAAATGGAGCAGTGGACACAGAGGACTGCAGTGGCTGGTGAGTTATCTGGGTTCAGATGTCCTGCAGGAGAGGGCAATTGGCCAGTAGTCATCTTGGAAAGAAGCCAACTGAGCTCAGAACTTAGTACAGCTGGGGCTGGCTCCATCTAGCAGCTCCCAGTGTCAGGGTGAGGTGAAACCAAGTTTAAATCAGGAGGAGGTCAAAGAGCAGGATTCAAGCCAGCAAGAGCCACACAGAGTGCTGCAGGCTGAACAAAATTGGTTCCAGTCTCACAGCTAGAAACCAGTCTGAACTTCAGTGGAAGTAAAGGTGCATGTTTGCTGGGATTATCCACTACTCACTATAAATCTATTGCTGGTTTTCTGAGATTAGTCAATAGGGATCTGGGCTCTGTCTGCCCACTCTATCTATCAGTGACAGCAAAGAAGGCCCTGAAGTAAACATTTTTTTCCTGTTTTCCTTTTTTTCCTTTTGTTATGTTCTTGTTGTTGTTTTTTTATTTCTTTAATTGATTGCTGCTTTTTTTTTTTTTTTTTTTTTGGAACCGGGGATCGAACTTGGGTCCTTGTGCTTGCAGAGCAGGTGGCGAAACCACTGAGCCAAATCCCCAGCCCTGCTTTAGTTTTTATATGGGTGTTAACACTGTTTCTAGTTTTCTTCTTTTTCTGTTCTCATTTTTATTTCTCTTTCCCTCCTGTCTTCTTCACCAGTTTCCCAAAGTTTACATAATCTTCCTTTGTCCTCCAGCTTTGCTTCTAATATGTTTCTCTTCTTCCATTTCTCTATTTTTCCCACCCTAACCCCTTTTAAATTTTCATTCCTGAAGGTAAAATTGCCATATTGAGGGTATATTTACTATATACAATTTTCTGGTTTTAGATTTTGTTATATAACCACTAATAAAGTACATATGGTTAAAGATGGCAAATTAGTAGTTACCACAGTTTGTCATTTTCTAGGCTGTGTTTCATGCTATTGTTATTGCTAACTGTACTACTTTAGCCGAGGTAACATAATTGTTCTAATCAGTTGTTCTTCCTGGTATGCCAAGACTGAGATTGCCTAAAGGTCGTAAACAATCCTATAAGCCAGTGCCAAATAACCAGGGGCTAGGCCAAATAGGCAGGAACTTCTCATCCCCAATAAATTGAAGAGGTATGATCTTGTAACATATTGGAAACCCAAAAGCCAGTTACACCTGAAGACATTTCTGAGAATTAGTCATTCCCTAAGGGTTCCAAATACTAGCAATAAAGCTTTCTGTCATACACAATTTACAAGCATCAACCCAGGAATTAAACTAAAAAAAAAGGAAAGAAAATGACAAGACACTTAAGCAAGATGCAACCTCAGACTTCCAGCTTGCCAAAGGCAAACCCAGGGGACAATGAGGGGGAACAGTTTGAAG